AGGAACTGAGGTAGGAGCCTGGCATGCCAAAAGTCTATTGGGGTAAGGCAGAGAAGTTGTGCTGGATGTCAGGCTGCAGGACCCCAAGGCAGCTGGCCAGACCACTTGGCAGCATTTTACAGATGGCTTTTTTTTAAGGGGGGGGCTGTGGTGTTGGGGACTAACCCAGCACCTCATGCTGACTCCACCACTGAGCTCCATCCCTATCCTTGAGTTTTACAGATGAAGATAATGAGGTAGTGTGAGGACGGTGGAAGGTCTTGGTCCAAGGTGAGCTAGTGAATAATAATAACCCTTCAGCTGTCCAATGCTCAAGATCAAAAGTTCTGCATGCATTTATCACATTTCCCAATTTTGTTCTTCCAATTTCCAATGACAGATATGCTTATTATTATTATTTTTAAGTATGACCAAATTTAATACATTTTTCTTTTTAGAGAGATAGAGAGAATTTTTAATATTTACTTTTTTTTAGTTTTCGGYGGACACAACATCTTTGTATGTGGTGCTGAGGATCGAACCCGGGCTGCACGCATGCCAGGCGAGCGCGCTACCGCTTGAGCCACATCCCCAGCCCAGATATGCTTATTATAAAGATTTGAAATCACAAAAATAATTAATGTAGAACTTGGTCCTTACTCTAGAGACAACTGCTATGCATGGTCAGATGCATTTTTATTCTCTTCCATTTTTCTAAAAAGCCAATTTATGAGTCAGGCCCATGAAATAAGGAGCAYCACTACCCACATAGTCCTACAGATGAGGAAAACTGAAACACAGAGAGCTTAAATGATCCACCCACTCTTGAGTGAGCAGCAGAGCTGGAGCTTTGGCTCCAGCAGTCGTTCAAAACAGTCCTTGCTATACTGCCCAGTGCCCAACCTTTAGGGAAGGGCACCAGATGGTCGTCCAAGAGCCCAATCTTATGAAACAGAGAGCRTTAATAATCTGACCCTGCAGACTGCAGCTGGTTCCAGAGACGCCCTTTCCACCCCTCCTCTTGTCTTGACCTTGGTGAGTAGCAGGGAGAGGGATGAGGGCCACTGAGGACTTGGTGGAGCTCTGATCAGCTATTCTCTGAGTTTTGGACTTGTCCCCGCAGCTTTACAGATGAGGAAATGGGCTGTGAGAGGTCAAGTGTTTTAGGGGATCCTTGGCCAAAGATTGCCAAGCCTCCAGTTAATCATTTGTTTTTTGAGCAATGGGAAGTGTGAGATTCAGCTCCAAGCAGTACGTGCCTTTCTTTCTCACCTGGGAGATGAAGGCATACACAGATCTTTTCCTGGCTATCTTCCAGTCTTACAGCCTGGGAAATTTGCTGTCTGAGCTAAATCTGAGACTCTACCCTGCCCAGCAGGGGCAGGCACAGAAGAGGTAGCCTGATGGCAGGGAGATATGTCTTCCCATCATTCCAAGATAACAGACAGAGGGCTGGGCTGTAGCTTAGTAGCAGAGCATTCGCCTAGCATTTWTAAGGCCCTGGGCTTAATCCCCAGCAGCACAAAAATAATGACAAAAAAAACAATATAACACACAGAACTGACATCCACTGGCACTGAGTCCTTTTTCTCTTGGGGCTCAAGACATGAGCTTCCTGTCATTTCTACCAAAAATAGGATAAAGTATCCAGGAAGAAGCTGAGAGCAGCGGTGCAAGCCAGTTGTTCCCAGATTGCTTGGGCCCAGGAGTTTGAGAGCAGCCTGGGCAATACAACGAGATCCTGATCCAATACAATAACAGCAAAATTTGCATTTTAAAAAGTATAAAGCAATGTCAGGTGCAGTGGTGCATGCCTGTAATCCCAGCTACTTGGGAGGCTGAGACAGGAGAATTGTGAGTTCAAAGCCAGGCTCAGCAATGGCAGGGCACTAAGCAACTCAGTGAGACCCTGTCTCTAAATACAAAAATAGGGCTGGGGATGTGGTTCAGTGGTTGAGTGGCCCGGAGTTCAATCCTCAGTACCAAAAGCAAAAACAAAACAAACCCAAAAGTAGACAGCAAGAAAAACGCACATGGGCTGGGGTTGTGGCTCAGTGGTAGTGCACTTGCCTTGAATGTGTGAGGCACTGGGTTCAATTCTCAGCACCGCATATAAATAAAGGTCCATCAACAACTTAAATAAATAAATTAATAAATTAAAAAAAAAAAAAAGAAAAACAGAAAAGCGCACACACAACCATGGAAACGACAGATACTTAATGCCAGCTTGTGACGCTTCCCCACCCCCACYCAAACTTGAAACTGCTGTAAATTCCCTCTTGAATGGTGAAGCCCCATTTTGCAGGCACTTTTCTTCCTGGCCATGTATTTCTAAGTCCACATCCTTTTCTCCATGAGGGAAGGTTCCTTCCTGGGCACCTGGCCCAGCGAGGCAAGAGTTTTCTGCCAGAGAGCCAGAACACTTGCCAGACAGCCCAGCTCGTCTCAGGTTTCTTCTACTTCTCCCTCCTGTCTTATCCAGGTGCTGCCCCCACATCCCATGGGTTGTCTTGGGTGCTTTCCTGAAGGACATATGGTCCCATGTGGGGTGTGGCCAGAAGGTCCCCTTCCACCAGGATGCTCTCAACAAGCAATGGCATTCAACTGGTTGAGCAAATTTCTGACAAGTGTACAAACTGGGCTTTTGTAAATGGCATTGGCTACCCCAGTGGAGCCCTGACCTTTCAGGAATGTTTCATTTCAACACATTTCTTTGGTTTCTCTGGACCTTTTCCTAAGCCGTCTGCTTAGAAGGAGCATAGCCACCACTGGCAAGCCTGGAAGGTAACCAGAGCCCAGAAAGGGGACTCCTCAGTCACACAGCCAGCAATCACAGCATGCTCCTGTGTGAGGGGGAATGACGGGTGGACTACAGGGAGGGGGAGCTGGGAAGCCAATGCTGGCTCCTTTCCCTTGGGGGTAGCAAGGACAAGGAGCCAGCCCTGGCTAGAGCTTGGCCTAGGGCTCAGGGCTCAGTCCCTCACTTCCCAGCTGCACAACCTTAGAGAAGTCCCTTGACCTTCCTGAGCCATCAGTAAGGTAGGGCAAGTAATTCCCACCCTGGCAGACCTGGGAGGGGTCCAGAGCCAGGATTATGTATKAAATGGCTTTATAAAGGTCAGAGCAGGGACCTTTATAAAACCCTWAGTGAGGACAAGCAGGTTGTGGACAGGGATGGACAGCCCTATCTCCCCCACAGGCGCCAAGAGCGACAGCGCTTTGCTGAGTACCAGGCGGAGTTGCAGGGCATCCAACACAGGGTGCAGGCCCGGCCCTTCCTATTCCAGCAGGCCATGCAGGTGAGGGCCAGCACCTGTCAAAGCCAATAACCACCAGGGAGCGTGGAGCCAGCTGAGTGGGCAGGGTAGCCAGGTGGAAGCGAGGCACTCAGGTGGGGTCCCTGTGTTGCTGCCTCCAGGGAAACCCAAGACACCCCCACCCCCAGTCATCAATGCTCCACGGTGGCCTCTGCAGCCCTGATGCAGAGAAGGAAACCCCTTCTTTCCTCAGACCAACGCCAGGCTCACCGTGGCCCGGCGCTTCTCCCAGGTGCTGTCAGCACTAGGAGTGAACGAGGAGGAGCTGGTGGCTGARACACATAAAAGGGACACAGTGGGAACCTCCAGGAAACCCAGGTGAGGTAATCTGGATAGCCAAAGACTGGATCTACAGAACTACTGTAGGACAAGGGACCAAGAACAGACTTTGAGCCCTACAGGGTTTCCCTCATGTCACTTGGGAAGGCAGAACCAGGGTTATTGTTCCTGCTTTCAATGAAGACAGAGRGGCAGGGCCTTGCTTAAGGACATAGGAGTGAATAAGCAGCCAAACCAGTCTGGGACTCTGCAGCTTTCTGAGCAGCTGCACACCAAACCCTAGTAGGGGCTAGTGCCACGCTGGTCATCCCATACATAYTGTCCCTTACACCTTAGAATAACCCGGTATAGAGCAGGGATCATGAGGCCCACTTTGCAGTAAAGAAAATTAGACTCAAGAAGGGGGAGTCACTTGCCCAGGGTCATTCAGCATGCTAGCATAGGTGCAGGATTTGAAGCCACTGGGTCAGTGGTTTCCTGGGCATGGAGTGGAGGCTGTGGAGCCCAATGGCCTTCATCTGTGTCTTTAAGGAGCCACAGGTCAATGGGGGTGAGAATGGAGCCCTCTTCTCGGAGCCCCCCAAAGACAGAAYCCACTGGCAGCCAGCCTGACAGGCACTTTTCCGCCAGCCTGGACAGAGGGCTGTCCCCAAGATGAAAATTAAAGGCTTTATGGCAAATACAGTGTGGGATTTCTGGGGGGGGGGGTGAGACTTTGGGCGGGGAATAAGTGATGAATGGGTGGGGCAGCAGGCCTCACTTTCTCCACATCCCCCAGGAGCTCTGACTGTTCTTGCCAGTCTCCACCCTGCACACACAGCCCTGCCTCTCCTTCTGAGTGGTACATCTCAAAAAGTAACAGCTGAGACTTCTCCAAGCAGTCAAATTCAAAAGGRAAAAGAACATGGGCATGGTGGCTCATGCCTGTAATCCTAGCAGCCAGGGAGGCTGAGGCAGGAGGATTGCAGAGTTCAAAGCAGCCTTGGCAACTCAGTGAGACCCTGTCTCAAAATATAATATTTTTAAAAAAAGGGCTGGGGATGTGGCTCAGTGGTTAAGGGCCCCTGGATCCCTGGTACCAGCCCCCCCCCAAAAAAAGGGGGGTGTTGAAAAGGTTCCTGTATTTGAGTACTCCCATGGGGTGGGGGTGGGGCTTTAAAGGGGAACTCATGACATATCCTAACATCTGAGATGGGTCACACAGGGAGTCCACAAAGGGAGTCCACTTGTGTGTGGGGGGGGGTTGTGTGAACCGGGCTTTTAAGTCCCGGTAATTTTAAATTAAAATCCTTCTCAAGTTTTAAAAAAGAAAGAAATATGATATAAGTGCACACAAATGTGTCCACTTTTGTATTCGATTTCACGGGGTTTAYAGGTGCACAGAAGCTCCTAGAACACCTGAGCAATTTAGAGCAGGTTAAAAAAAAAATCCAGAGAACGCGAGGGCAGGATGCTCACAATACTGGTTATGAGAGTTCCCAGTTGGGGCCTCAGAGAAGAGGAAAACATTCTGCACCATCTAACACCCCAAGAAGCCCACTAGAAGGGCGCCCACTAGTGAGGAGGGAGCAGCCTGCAGCTGGGGGAATGAGAGCGGAGCTCAGAAAAAGGCTTCCAGTTCGGGGGATGCTGATTTCAAAAGCATCCAGTTCCTTACAGCTCTGCGATTCCGCCTTCTGGAGGAGAGGCTAACCCCGAGCCGAGTAGTGCATGCGCACAGACCGCCACCGCACCGAGGCGGCCGCGAATGCGTAATCGGACTGATTYGGGCCTTCCCGTGAGCCTTTGGGGCCGACTCTCGTGCGAACGCCGGAAGCAGCCAYTCTTGGTTTCCGGCAATAGGACAGCGGCGGCCTTGCGACCCGGAAGTGTTCCCATTTTGCGTCGTCGGGGCTCGGCGGCTACCCGGCTCCAGGCGTACGTACCACTATGGGGTCTTCAAAGAAGCACCGCGGAGAGAAAGAGGCTGCCGGGAGCACGGCGGCGGCCGGCACTGGGGGAACCACCGAGCAGCCGCCGCGGCATCGGGAGCACAAGAAACACAAGCACCGGAGTGGCGGTGGCGGCAGCAGCGGCGGTGAACGACGGAAGCGGAGCCGGGAACGTGGGGGCGAGCGCGGGAGCGGGCGGCGCGGGGCCGAAGCCGAAGCCCGCAGCAGCGCGCACGGGCGGGAGCGCAGCCAGGCCGAGCCCTCCGAGCGGCGCGTGAAGCGGGAGAAGCGCGATGATGGCTACGAGGCCGGTGAGGGCGGGGCTTGCGCGGGGGGGCGGGGCGGGGCCCGGGCGCCTGCTTGAAGCTCGCCGGTGGCGCTTTTCACCTGCACTTGTTAAAGGGTGTTGGGATTAAAGGTTGATCCCCTGCACTGAGCCCCGTGAAGACGAACGTCTTCTGTTTTCCTCAGTTGTCTTGCATGACAGGCCTTCAAATAAATGTGTTGGGGGAATAAATAAACGACTGGATGAAGTGGTATCAGTGTGTCCCGAAGCCAGAGAAAACCTGGTGTTGGGAAAATCGCGTAGAGATCTGAGGCAGTAAGGTGGGCGGGGTCTAAATACGGAAGGACCCTGTGCATTATGCTCTGCTCTGCTCTGCTCACGGTAGGGAGCCTAAGATTTGAGTTAGGGAATGGGTCAGATTCATGTTTGTGAAGCCCACCGCATTGAGAACTTGTTCAAAGACAGGTCTGGAGGCCCAGGATTCAGGAGTGCTATAAACCCACCAGTGAGGGCTGATTGTGGTCTAAACCAAGAATTTTGCTAGGAGGGAGTGATTAGTAATGTTAGACTCCACAGGGATCAAGCAAAACYAGAACTGAAGAAGGAGGCTAGTGACCTTGGAGAGGCTGGAATCCAGGGCCATGTAGAGAGAAAGAGAACTTGGGTACTTAAGAGGAGGTAGGCTATGGGAATAGGGATTCAGGAAAGGATTTGCTCCTAATGGCAGGATGCTCTATCCAGTGGTGTCCAGCTTCTCTACATAGTGTTCAGTGAAGTTCTTTGCTGTTGTGAGGTGGACGAGGGAGGTCCAACATGCTAAGTTATCAGTGTCCTGAACATGTCACATAGAAGAGTCACCAGTGTTTCTCAACTGCATGAATTGCATAGAGAACACGGTCATGCTGCAGACAGCCCCTGCTGTGTGGGGAGAAACAGACCCAGCAATGATGGACTGTGCCAGAGTTCATGGCAGAATGGTTAATTCTGATTAACAATTGAATGGGGCTTCATGAAGGAGGTGGTGTTTTGATCTTTGCATTTGGATAGGATTTTTTGTCAATGAGGGCAAGTCCAGATTAGATTGTTAGATTAGACAGTTTAGATTGAAGATTCAGAATATTCAGAAGTGGAGAGGGCAAAGTGAGGGGTACAGAAATTTGGACCTCTTGGGTCAGGAAAGGAGGATGCATAGAAGAGAGAGAGATCTGTCAATGGAAACTTGTGTAGAGGAGCTGTTAGGGAGCCCAAAGAGGAAGAAGTTGCTGTTGTCTGGTGTTCAGCAGGCCCAGGTGCTGGGGAGGGGCCCTCATATTTGACCCTGCAGCTGGAGCTGATAATGCTAGCTTCTTGGTCCTGTGTTCAGCCCCTGCCATGCCTCTTGTTGTTTCAGCTGCCAGCTCCAAAACTAGCTCAGGAGATGCCTCATCGCTTAGCATTGAGGAGACCAAGTGAGTACTATTTCCCTTGAGCTTCTGCTTTCTTCTTCTGGGGCAGCCATATTGGATGACATTCTCACACTAAAGTGGGCCAGGTGGAGTTGGAAGGGTTGTATGAATTGTCTTAGCTAAGCGTTTGAGTTATAGAGGGAGGAATTAAGACKCAGGAAAAAGGATGGTATTCACTGGTTGGGGACAAGCCAAGACCAGCACCCATATTCCCTGGTAGGGAGACCAGTGCCATTTCCACTATCCAGGGCTGCCCAGGTTAGGGTCTATGTTTAGGATAGGGTTACTCATTCCCACCCTAATTTTTACCTCCTATTTGTCCAAAAATGCATGTGGTGCCCCATTTCTTGTGGGTGTTGTTTGTTTTTGTGGTTGGGGTGGAACCCAGAGTATCATGTGTACCAGTCAAGTGTTCTTCCACTGATCTACATCTCCAACCTGACACCTCATTTATTTGGCAGCCCCTAACACTTATGTCTCTTGTCCTTAGTAAACTCCGGGCGAAGTTGGGGCTGAAACCCTTGGAGGTCAATGCYGTCAAGAAAGGTAAGTTTAGGGCTRAGGATGGGGTCAGGGGAGGTACAGTGACCATCTGTAAGGGTCTGTGAAGAAAATGGTGTTAGAGTGCAGAGGCAGCAGCACTCAGTGGTTGTGTGGGTGTATCTGCCAGAGAGCATAAGGCCTCTCCTTACTGTAGTGGGGATCTGGTGTGTGGCTTGCTCTGGTTCACCATGGCATCCTCACTCTGGCTGGAAGGTGCTCTTAGTCGGGCTGAGACTTGCACAGTTGCTGCAAACTGACTGGACTGCGTGAGATTGGTTTTTTAATTAAAATAGAACAACATTTATTTGAGGAGGTTTGGAAAGCGTAGAGGGTCCTGTCGTTCTGTGTGGGGGACACAGGAATATGGGGATGGAGCGGGGGCAGGGAGGTGAAGGGTTCTTCCCCTTTCCCTGGCTCCTTCTGGCCMTCTGAGCTGGAAGGGGGCAGGGTGAGTGGCTCCCTCCTCTCCCCACCAGCCATGGGCAGGCATAGCCTCACGTCTGGGCCCCCCTTCCAGAGGCGGGCACCAAGGAGGAGCCCGTGGCGGCCGATGTCATCAACCCCATGGCCATACGACAGCGAGAAGAGCTCCGGGAGAAGCTAGCAGCTGCCAAGGAAAAGCGCCTACTGAATCAAAAGTTGGGGTGAGGGGTCCCAGCCAGGGACAGGCAGAGGAGGCTGCTRTTCTTGCTGCCTCATGGGTTGGGGTTGGGGAGCAGGTGGTGAGCTCCCCCAATCCTCACTCCCTTCCCTCCTCAGGAAGATAAAGACACTGGGGGAAGATGACCCCTGGCTGGATGATACTGCAGCCTGGATCGAGAGGAGTCGACAGCTGCAGAAGGAGAAGGATTTGGCAGAGAAGAGGGTGAGCAGCAGGGCAGCTGGGGTGGTTGCTAGGGGCCTCTGGGGGCTGCCAGGTGAGGCTGGAGCCTGGCCCTTTAGAGGTGAGATGGCTCAGAGAGGAGGGGGACTCATGGTCGGGCCATGAATTATCTGCAGCTTGCCTGCGAGGCCTTCCCTTTTTGTGCTTCCTCTTGTTAGAGACCTGGGTGTTTGCTGGTGATGCTGAATGGCCCGAGGTCACAGGCCACCCCTCTCTGTCCCATAGGCGAAACTGCTGGAGGAGATGGACCAAGAGTTTGGTGTCAGCACTCTGGTGGAGGAGGAGTTTGGGCAGAGGCGACAGGTAAGGCTGCAGCAGCTGGGGAGGGCRGGATGGGGGTGCTGCCACCTTGGTGCTGGGATCTCAGGGTTGGGTGAGTTATAGCTCCTGACTCAGCTGGATCTTCCTCCTTAGGACCTGTACAGTGCCCGGGACCTGCAGGGCCTCACTGTGGAACATGCCATTGATTCCTTCCGAGAAGGGGAGACTGTGATCCTTACCCTCAAGGACAAAGGTGAGCGAGCTGGGTGTTCTGGAGGAGGTCCCAGACACTGCTGAGCCAAGGGCAAGGGTGGGTGGTCACTGCCTCTGCCCTGTCAGGTGTGCTGCAGGAAGAGGAGGATGTGCTGGTGAACGTGAACCTGGTCGATAAGGAGCGGGCAGAGAAGAACGTAGAGCTGCGTAAGAAGAAGCCTGACTACCTGCCCTACGCCGAGGACGAGAGTGTGGATGACCTGGCACAGGCATGCCAGCAGGGTGGTGAACGGGGCAGGGCCTGGGCTGCTGAGGAGATGGGCTTCATGGCTTGTAAGGAGCCACCCTGGGTCCCAATCTGTACCTCTTGCCCTACAGCAAAAACCTCGCTCTATCCTGGCCAAGTATGACGAGGAGCTGGAAGGCGAGCGGCCACACTCCTTTCGTCTGGAGCAAGGCGGCACTGCCGATGGTCTGCGGGAGCGGGAGCTGGAAGAGATCAGGGCCAAGCTGCGGCTGCAGGCTCAGTCCCTGAGCTCTGTGGGGCCCCGCGTGGCTTCAGAGTACCTGACACCTGAGGAGATGGTGAGCGCCTCTGTGCATCATACTGGAGTGCAGATTCTTTGTGCCCCTTGGGCTGCGGGCTGCCAGTTTGCACTCGGGGAGGTTGAGCATTGGCACAGGGCTGGGTTCCTAGGTGGTTTGTAAATGGCTGCCCGAGGGAGGAGCTGGGTGTTGATGAACAGAGACTGTTGAGCCAGATGGATCCAAGCTTGTGTTCCGGCTCTGCAATGCAGCCAGCTTGTGTCTTGGGTGAGTCATTTAACTGAGCCTGAGGTGCCCATCTGGAGTGGCAATGACAGCAGCCACCTCATGAGGCTACTATGAATAGTGATAATGTGTGCAGATGATAATTTTAGAGGCTCACATGGATTTTGGGCTCAGAGGGACTGTGAACAGAGGCAAACAACAGGTGTGGTTGGTRTCTTGGCTAAAGGGGAAAGAGTCTTGGAGCCACACTACGAAGGCTTCCAGGCCTGGCTCTCCCACTTAGGAGCTGGGCAACTTTGGGCAGGGTATGTACCCTCTCTGACCTCATTTCTCTCATCTCACAGTAGAGTGCTAATAGCACCCACTTCACATGTGTATATGGGAAGTGCTGGGGACAGTGCTTGGCACAGAATAACACYAAAGAAGTGGTCACTGAACTGGGCGTGGTGGYACATACCTGTAATCCAGCAACTCATAAGGCTGAGACAGGAGCATTGTCAAGTTCAAGGCCAGCCTTAGCCACTTAGTGAGATCCTATTAAAACGTAAAAAGAGGGGTTGGGGTTGTGGCTCAGTGGTAGTACGGTTGCCTAGCATGCGTGAGGCACTGGGTTTGATTCTCAGCACCACATACAAATAAGTGAAAATAAAAGTCCATCAACAATTTAAAAAATATTAAAGAAAAAACACAAAACGTGGGGCTGGGGATGTGGCTCAAGTGGTAGCGCGCTCGCCTGGCATGCTTGCAGCCCGGGTTCGATCCTCAGCACCACATACAAAGATGTTGTGTCCACTGAAAACTAAAAAATAAATATTAAAAAAATTCTCTCTCAAAAAAAAAAAAAACATAAAAAGAACTGGGGGTGTGGCTCATAGGCAGAGCACCCTGTGTAGTCCCAGGTACCACTGAAAAACAGAAAATGGTAGCCGTTATCAAGGTCATGGAGGCCTGCCTTCCACATCTCTCATCTCTCCTCAGGTGACCTTTAAAAAGACCAAGCGGAGGGTGAAGAAAATCCGCAAGAAGGAGAAGGAAGTGTTAGTGCGGGCGGACGACTTGCTGCCTCTTGGAGACCAGACTCAAGACGGGGAYTTTGGTTCCAGGTGGGTGTGACTGCAAAGGGGGTGTGAGGCTGGGTTGGCCTGGGCTGGGGCTCACTAGAGGGCCCTCCTYCTCCCAGACTGCGGGGCCGGGGTCGGCGCCGAGTGCCTGAAGTGGAGGAGGCGGCAGCCCCAGAGGATGAGGAGAAGGAGCCTGTGCCCCAGCCCCCGCCGTCAGATGACACCCGTGTGGAGAACATGGACATCAGTGACGACGGTGAGGGGCTGGTCAGGAGCAGGTGGGGATGGGTTGGGGACCAAGGAAGTGATATGAACAGGTGTCCTCCATCTCCTCACCAGAGGACGGAGGAGCTCTGCCGTCAGGGTCTCCAGAGGTGCTGGAGGAGGACGAGGCGGAGCTGGAGCTGCAGAAGCAGCTGGAGAAGGGGCGTCGGCTACGGCAGCTACAGCAGCTGCGGGACAGCGGGGAGAAGGTGAGGCCAGTGCCAGTATGACTGCGACAGCCTGTGCCCGTGAGCACCCGCATTTGAGTCAGCACAGGCGGCACTGCATCCCACCAGGAGTCTCCTTGGTGCAGAGCCGGGTCCTGAGCGAGTTTCTGGCCTTGGTGGGGGCTCCCTGCATCTGCTTTCCTGTGCCCACTCTTGGGCACTTGCTATGGGTGKGGCTCTGTTCTCAAGCCTGGGCATCCTTGGCAAGCAGGACAGTCCCAGGGCCCTGTTAGTGTGCTGGGGACAGCGGTGACCTTGTGAGYGGAGAGGCAGGCAGTAGTTTCTGATAGTGAGGAGAGCTGTGCAGAGTAAAACAAGGTAGCGTGAGGTCAGTGCTCAGAGAGGGCCTATCAGAGGCATCTGAGCTGAGGCCTAGGTAACACAAGGAGATCGAGGGGTGGAGGCTGTGGGACARCAGATGTCTTCAGAAGTGACCCTGGAGTGCCTGAGGCCTGGGTAGGCTGGGGTAGGGAGCGAGCAAGCAGATAGATGGAGAGCCGAGGTGAGAGGTCAGCGGGTCAGTTTATATGAGGCCTGGAGGCCATAGCCTTCCTAGCCTTCCAGGGCAGTTACATGAGGCCGGCCAGGCAGAAGTAGACATGGTGACAGAATCTCTCAGCAGCTTACTTTCTTGCAGGGGGCTGCAGGGTCAAGGGAGAAGTGAGTCCTTGAAAGGGGAATTGATTAGGTGAGGTGTGGGTGGCAGGAGGGACCCTGGAGTGGAGACCAGTTGGAAGGTCCAGTGTGAGCTGTGGGAATGGCTTGCTTATTGTACCCAGGGAGAATTGGAGGGTCCCGGGTCTCAGTGGCATCACCCCAGAAACTTCTGGGTCTGCCCACAGCTGCTCCCTCCCCCAGGTGGTGGAGATTGTGAAGAAGTTGGAGTCTCGCCAGCGAGGCTGGGAGGAGGAGGAGGATCCTGAGCGAAAGGGGGCCATCGTGTTCAACGCCACCTCCGAGTTCTGCCGCACCCTAGGGGAAATCCCCACCTATGGTCTGGCTGGCAACCGGGAGGAGCAGGAGGAACTCATGGTGGGTCCCATGGCCCCCTCTTCTTGGCTGGCCAGCTCTGCTCTCAGCCACAGGCCTAGTGCTCAGGGGAGGGAGTRGGCAGCCCAGGCTGACCCTAATTTCACACCCCAGGACTTTGAACGGGACGAGGAGCGCTCTGCCAATGGAGGCTCGGAATCGGATGGGGAGGAGAACATCGGCTGGAGCACYGTCAACCTGGATGAGGAGAAGCAGCAGCAGGACGTGAGGATGGGTGTGGGCRGGGGTGTCCCTTGTGCCCCAGAACCCCCACCTCGTCCCTAGAGTGGCTCTGAGGCCCAAGGGCTGGCTGGGGTTGGGAGGCTGTCCACAGGGTCCTTGCCTGGTGGGGAGTGACAGGGCCAAGGGGGTGGGAGGAGCCTGTGTGGCTCGCTTATGCCCCACGTGTCCTCCCTAGTTCTCTGCCTCCTCCACCACCATCCTGGATGAGGAGCCCATCGTGAACAGAGGGCTGGCTGCTGCCCTGCTGCTCTGCCAGAACAAAGGTGCGGGCTGGGTGCCGTGGTGGGGAGGCAGGGTGCTGCCTGTGGGTGAGGCAGGTGCAGTGCATGCCTCTGTCCCCCTCTGCTGYCTTTTCCTCAGCCCCAGTGCCATGAACATGGGGCCTTGAATCACTTTAGTTCTGGGCATTCGGTGGCAGCACCTGTCCCTCTGCTGTGCTGTCAGGACTCTGTGTCTCCTCAGGAAGGAGTGAGGCKAGACTTGGGTTAGGTCCCAGCTCTGCCATTTCCTGGGTAAAGGTCTTTGCCTGTGTGTGCAGTGGGCATACTCAGCAGGGCGGAGGCTCTCTAGCACCCACATGCTGGGGCTGCTTCAGGCTGCCTCGGAGCTGGGCCTGTCAAGGGTGTGGGCAGTCTGGAGTCTCATAGCCTCTCTATCCCCAGGGCTGCTGGAGACCACAGTGCAGAAGGTAGCCAGGGTGAAGGCCCCCAACAAGTCCCTTCCCTCAGCTGTGTATTGCATCGAGGACAAGATGTAAGTGGGCACGCASGGGTGCAGGCCTTCCCGGAACACAGGGAGTGGGTGGCCAGTGGTTCATACTGAACCCCTTTATCTTGCTTCAGGGCCATCGATGACAAGTACAGCCGGCGGGAGGAGTACCGAGGCTTCACCCAGGACTTCAAGGAGAAGGACGGCTACAAGCCTGATGTTAAGATCGAGTATGTGGATGAGACRGGCCGGAAACTCACACCCAAGGAGGTACGTGCAGGCCCCTTTGCAGATAGGCCAGGCCAATGGTGACTGGGTCAGGGAAAGGCCAGAGCCCACTGAGGGGCCTGTCTTGCTGCCTCTGACTGGGGTCCTGGTGAGGTGGTAGAGTGACCTGGTGAGACAGGTTTCTGGCTCTTGTGGGCAAGAGTCAGCAATCCCCTCCCACCTGGCACGGGGGTCAGACAGGCACCTCTGTACCTCTTACCTGCCTACTGCAGCCAAAGCCCCCAGCCTGAGGGCCACCATCCTTGAGGGCGTGTCCAGGCTTCTACCATGGCTCTCCACCCCACACTCACTGCATCCAGCCCTAGCCCCAAATGGCAGGTCTCACGCCAGGTCCCCTGTCATGCCGGAGTCTCTGCCCTCTCCCCCTCCCTGCTGCCAGGCCTAGCCCTGGAGTGCGTGAATCGGCATGCCCTCACCCTGTTGGGAAGGTCCTCCCAGGTACAGGTGGCCCTGGCCTCACCTGTAGTCCCTGCAGCTCCTGGCCCATGCCCTGTGTCCCCAGGCTTTCCGGCAGCTGTCCCACCGCTTCCATGGGAAAGGCTCAGGCAAGATGAAGACAGAACGACGGATGAAGAAGCTGGATGAGGAGGCGGTGGGTGCCCAGGGACGTGCTGCATTTGTGGGTGCTGGTGGTGATATGCTGGGCCTCTTTCTGCCCCCGTGCTAACTGGCCCYTTCCCACAGCTCCTGAAGAAGATGAGCTCCAGTGACACGCCCCTGGGCACCGTGGCTTTGCTCCAGGAGAAGCAGAAGGCCCAGAAGACCCCATACATTGTGCTCAGTGGCAGTGGCAAGAGCATGAACGCGTGAGTGGGAGGTGCATGGGGAGGGGGTGGGGGGACTGCGCCCACTTCCCTGGAGCCTGACACCCCTCTTCTCCCTGCAGGAACACCATCACCAAGTGAAGCTGGCCTCCCCCGAAGCCCCTCCCCAACTTTAATGTTAAATAAAGTTCCCTCCTTATTTTTTCCTCCCTGGTCGTGGTGCAGAGTCCAGGGTTATGCCCAGGAGGAGGGGTAGGTGGTACTCTCAGGCAGCCTGGGCCTCTTGTTCCCCATCAGCTGTGTAACTCAGGCAAGTGGCTGAACCTCTCTGAGCCTCAGTTCTGCCTTTTGTAAGTCAAAACAGCTCTGCTTCATAGGATTTCATGTGCAGATTCAGTGAGCTCATTCATTCACTCATTCCCTTGGAATTTGGGCATGAGCAAGATAGGACAGATCCCTGAACACGTGAGACTCAGAGTCTGCCCTCTCTGCCAGTTGACACCCAGTCATCAGATGGCACAACTAACTGAACAGAGATAACAGAGAACAACTAGTCTGGATCCTTGAAGATGATCCTTTACCTGCCTTGGCCCCAGCCAGCTAGGGAAACTAGTGTGTACCCTGCCCTCTCCACCTGTTGGTGGCACAGGTCCTGCTGTGGAGATGCCCTCATGCCTTCTTGGTGGACACTTCCTGATATGATGTGGAAGGTGTTTTAGAGTCTTGGTTCCCCTGGCATCTCCAGGGCTGCTTGAGCCATTGCCCTGTAATCTCCCCAGTTAGACAGTTTGCAGGGTGGTCCAGGCCTGCCCAGCCCAGTGGGATAGGGATTGAGTTCTGTACAGGGTGGAGGGGCCACCACCTGTGTCCGCCCTCCTTGGCTGCCTCAGTCTGTGAAGGTGAGGGCCATCCCAGCTGCACCTTGTCCAGGGCCAGGTCGGCTGAGCCAAGGCACTTGAAGACTTGTCCGGCACAGCTGCACCAGGAGAGGTAGGGCTCCTGCTGGGAGTGAGCTCTTGGGGCAGCATGAGCCATCAACAAGATACTTGAGAGCCCAGCATATGTGGACAGTGACCCAGCTGCTACCTCAGGCATCAGAGAAAGTGGGTGACCTGCTCCCTATCCCCCAGATACATTCCAGATGGGTCACAGATTTTAAAATAAAAGAATGAAACCAAAAAATAAATTGAAGGAAATGGTGAACTTTAAAATATAATCTTGGAGTGGGAGAATGTAAGGGACAAAACCCAGTTGCCTTAAAATAAACTATTAGTGTTGGACAATGTGATTTCTGTGTTGTAAAGACCACAAAGCAGGCAGGCCACTTTTTTCACTCTGTTGAACTTATTCTGATTTACTTTYCCCTTTGGCTGTGCCCTCAAGGTAGGTGCCTGCAGGGTGCACTTGGTGGGTCTAGGACTGGGGAATCAGTCCTTTCTCTCAAAACTGCATGCGGTGCTTCCAGTGTTGGGACTGACAGTCTTGGTGCGTCTGGCTGGCTGTTGAAGCTCGTGCCTTATTTGCAGGAAATGGACCAATAGGCTGCTTTATCCCAGGCCTGGTCTAGAGCCAAGATGGCTCCAGAGTAGAACTTTCTGGCTCTATCCRTGGCCACTGGGCAGATTAAATGGCAAGTCAGGGAACAGAAGGGCTCCCCAAGACACCTGAGGGGCTCCAAGCTGGTGCAGTCTGCTTGCTTCCTCTCTGCATCCTGTGGCTCTCAGTTCTCCRGGTTCTCAGGCTGAGGACTTACTCTTTTGTTATGTATTCTAGCCTACTCCCTAGGCTGTGCCCAGCCCAGGTGCCCCGATAGGAGGGGCTACCAAGTGCCCTAGAGGCCTGCACACCCAGGACAGGTAGGACCCAGCTTTGCTGCTCAGCAGTTGGGCAAGGCCAGCAATACTTCCCCTGACCCTCAGGCTCCTGGGCCCAGTGATACTGKAGTGCCAGCCTCAGGGACGATGGTCCCTCGGGCAGGGATGCCAGGTGAGCCCAGCAGGCACTGATGTCTGATGTCTTTTCCATTTACTACAGTTTGTCCTTGGGCAAGTTACTCAGTCTGTAAAATGGAGTCCATGAGCCCAGATTTCTAGGGCTGGTGAAAGGCATGGTTGAGAAATCCATCTCTTAACTTAAACAAACATTGGCTGCCGGCCTGCATAACCAGAGGAGCCAAACTAAGGCTTCCAGGGTGCGTGGGGCTAAGGCCCAAGGGATGGGTAACCCTTGAACAGGGCATGACCAGATGGGGTGGGAGGAAACAGCTCCTGCCTCCCCCATGGTACCTCACAGAAGGCAGGAATTTTGGGGGGGCTCAGCCACACCACATAACACCCCTCTGTTCTCATGAGCCATCTGGGCATGGCGAGGGGAACCCCGGTACAGGCTGGCTGTCCAACACTGGTGTGGCCTTTGTTCTGAGTGAGAGCAGGCCTTGTCCACTTTGCTGAGATCCTGCTCCTGCCAGGCTGAACCTACATCCTGCCCAGGTGCCCCAGATCTCCTTAAAGYCCCAAAGCTGTATTCCAGCTCCATTGGTCAGCTGTGTCCCATTCTGTATTCTGGTTAAGAGAGATTTTTTTAGTCAGCTTTTTTACTGCTGTGACCAAAAGACCTGACAATTTTAGGAGGAAAACTTATTGAGATCTCAGTCCATAAAGTGGCAGAAAAGTGTGGTAGAGGAAAGTGGCCAGGATGTGGTCACCATGAAGCAGAGAATGAGAGCTCCCCTCACCACAGACAAAATGTATATCCCAAAGGCACACCCCCAGTGATCCACCTCCTCTAGTCACACCCTACCTGCTACAATTAGTACCCAGTTAATCCTTATCAGACTGATTAGTTTAAGGCTCTCACAACCCAATCAGTTCACCTCTAATCTTTCTTGCATTGTCTTACACATGAGCTTTTGGAGGGACACCTCATAGCTAAAACCATAACAGATACTTAAAATATATAAACAGATGAATGTAATGCTAGCTGGGACTTACTATATAATCACTCCAGCATAAATAAATAAGAAAAATATGGAGGGGCAGGGAAATTAGGCAAGACTAGGAAGATGTTGATAGACTTACACTGGGTGATAGGCACGAGGGATTCATTATTACATTCCATCTATTTCTGAGTTATTCTGAAATTTTTCCATTATGAAACTTTGCTTTAAATAGAAGAAAACTGTGTTGGCTTAGCAACAGAAGAGCGTACAGATGTTCAGTGAAAGGTGTGAACAAGAATGTTCACAAGAGCATGTTTATAACAGCTGCCATCTCCGTCAATGGAAGGATAAAGAAATGGTGGATGTTCAYATGTAGCAGAACAAATTCATGGATGAATCTCACAGACACAGTATGGCAGTAAAGAAGCCAGACATGAAACTACACACCATCTGCTTCCGTTCAGTATAAGAAYAGGCAAAATCATTTCTACTATTAGAAATCAGAACAGAATAATGGCTTGGGACATAAAGAGSAAAAAGGCAGCCACCTGAGACTTGATTCTCTGACCTTCCTAAGATCCCATGAGTTATCTAAAATGATCTAGAAAATTTCTTTTCTAGTTAAACAACAACTTTCATATAGAACTAATATTTCTATTTGTCCTGCTTTCTATTGTTTTTCTCCTTTTTGAATAATTATTGTTTTCCCCTCTAGTGCTGGAGCTGGAACCCAGAGCCTTGTTCGCATGCTAGGCAAGCACTTTGCTCCTGAACTACATCCCAGCTCTGTTTTTTTTTTTTTTTAATGATCGAGTTTTTTTTAAAAAAATAAATATATATGTATAATATTATAAAAAATATATTTTAGTTGCAGATGGACATAATATCTTTATTTTTATTTATTTATTTTTTATGTGGTGCTGAGGATTGAACCCAGAGCCTCACACATGCTCGGCGAGTGCTCTACCACTGAGCCACAACCCYGGCCTGAGTTTTTGATGTTTCTTTTTACTTTCTTGGAAGTTCTACACCTGTGTCTATTCTTTGAAGCTTTCCCTTAACATTTTAACATGTGCATAAACAAAGCATAAACTTAATTCTGTTTCCCTTTAAGCCATAGGGAAGGCTTTGGATCCCTTTAATTATAGTTGCCCCTTCTGGTTTTAGATAATTTTATTATCCAGTATTTTTTGTTAGCTTTTAAAAAGTATATTTATTTAGTTATCTATTTGTTACCAGGAATGTTTAACCACTGAGCCATATTCCTGGCCCTTTTTATTTATTTATGTATTTGAATCAGGGTCTCACTAAGTTCTTAAGGCCTCACTAAGTTGAGGCTGGTTTTGAACTTATGATCCTCCTGCCTAAGCTCCCAAACTGCTGGGATTACAGGCTTGTGCCACTGCACTAAGAACTACCCCCAAGTCAGACATCACTGCCATCATCATCAATTCATGTTTTTATTAAGAAGCCTCTCTTCCCCTGAGGCACACACCTGTCATCCTAGCAACTCATGAGGCTGAGGCAGAATGATCATAAATTGGAGGCCAGCCTGGGCAACTTGGAGAAACCCTGTCTTAAAAGGGCTGGGGATGTAACACACTGGTGAAGTGCCCCTGGTTCAATYCCTAGTACAAAAYAAACAAAAACAGCAGTAGCAGTCTCTCTAGCCACTTCCCTGGGGCCACTTTCATTCTCTGAGTTCATCTTTTATCAAAGTCCCACTGTTGCTCAATCTGAGTGTCCTTTCTTGTGCTGGGTGGCCATCCCAATCATGGGGCTGTGATGAGTTTCAAAGCTGCTTCACCACCCGCACTTCTCTGAGGTCCAAATATTCCCAAGACAGAGTTGGCCTCAATCAAGGCCTCCACTCCAGCCAGCTGGGCTCAGTCCTTCCTGCAGCCCCCATGTTCTCTTCCCTGAACTCTGGGCACACCTCATGCTGTCCACTCCTGCAGTTTCTCAGAGTCCCTCAGACTGCCATTCCAGGCCTGGAGGCCTCTAGCCCTACCTTTCTAGTTTCCTTCCTCCCTGACACAATGCCTGCTTTTTTTCAGACCCTGGAACTTTTCCTCCGGGTTGGGTGGGGGGCAGAGAGAAAAACAAAATAGCCCTTCTGTGCCAATATGTGCTCTGCCTTGGGGAGGTTTTAAGGATGGGTTCCCCAAATCATTGATTTGTCAGCTCTGGCCACAATAAGAAGGGGAACAAGAAAGCTGAGGGCAGATGGTCAGCACTTCCTGCCGAAGCCCTCTCAGCAAGGCAGGT